CACACTATAGTAGCTTAAGATAAATACATATTTACACATTAACATCCAATTCAGAAAAAAAGTTGATTTGATCGAATCATCAACATGAGCAAAAATTTTAACTATGAGATGCTGAGGTCCTAAAACTGATAAATCAGCTCGTGGTTTTACCAGGGAAGACATCTCAGCCGCACTCTGTTGCAATTGCAAGAACATTCAGCGGTGTTACAGAGTGAATCTTCTTTTACTGTACCTCATAAACAATCTTTGGCTGAATGCAGACAGCTGTGTTGAAGTCCATTTCCTACCGACTTGCAGCGAGCACAAAGACCCAGTTTCACTTTGACCTCTCATCAACATCAGTTTGCAATGGCTGATATGACCATGCTGTTTGTCATTTAACACATTCAGATTTGCCCTGATCAAACACAATTAATCGTGTTTTACTTCCTATAGTAGTTATGTTTCATAAATTACTGTTTATTTATTCTACTGTGTATTTATTCAGTTGCATTGTTTCATCCACACTGGAGGGCAAATTACATCCTCGTCACTGACAACAGGAGAGCAGAGCCGCAAAATGAGTCATAATAACTGCCAGTAAAATTATGTTCTAATTTGTAAAACCTGTGGTCGCCCTTGATTTGATTTCTGTTGTACAAATTGAAAAATCTGAATAATGAGAGCAATGACAGAATTTGCAGAAACTTTCGTTAGCTCCCCACTGGTAGCACGGCCCGTTAAAGTGATAAAGTAGTATTATTCAATCTCATATTTCTTTAAAGAAAAACATTCAGGAGAGGAGTAAAAAGGATACAAAGACACTCTTAAAGCTGAGCAAATTAAAGTCTCTCATTTGTTTCTCGTTTGATTTATTGTGTGCTCATGCAACCCTTGTGTTCACGCTCCCCTGAGAACACAACATATCAAAAACATTCATGAGGCAAGTGAGGAAAAATAGAAGCTGACACACAGTATTGAGCTGTCAAGGCTTCAGTTTAGCAGATTATCCTTCCTGCCTGAGCCAAAATGAATGCATCATGAACAGGCTTTGTTGTGAGCACAGCAGTGAGGTTGACAGGACCTTAAACAATTGTTCAATAATGAGACAAAGATACCTTGACAGCTTATGATGGAAAATTGTGAGACTAATTGAGGAAATGCAGCTCAGTCAAACAGAGAGATTTATCTTCAGACAATCAGGAAGCAGATTTTTGTAGGTTGGACAAATGTGTAAATATTTTACCAGGACTTATCATCCCTCTCATACCTAATTCCTTTAAAAACCTTAAGTATTAACACAATATAGATGCTATGTGAACCTTGGTCTAGCAAACTCATGAAGCAGACCACATCATCTCTATAAAAAAAACAAAAAAAAAGAAAAGAAAAGAAAAGCATTATTATTTTTTTATTTAGGAACAATATGCATCTCATCAGACTAGGGGTTGTCTTTGTTGAGTTATCTGTGTTCTCATGAGACAGATGTGACAAATCGTGCTTGAGGGGAAAAACAGAATCTGGAAGCAGAAACAGGGTGCCTTGCAAAAAAGGCTCTGTCTGAGCACAGATATAACAAGAGCCCAGTCACTATTTTTGGGTACACCAAAGCAGCAGGAACCTAAAACTTTGAGGAAGTTTCTGATCTCTGCACAGTAAACACAAAAAGACGAACACAACCACACAGAGTGCACAAACCCTGTTATTTTAACACTAGAAAATACCATCTATTTGTGTATTATGTACTGTATGTATTCACGTTGGCATGTCAATGACATTATCAGTCCTCTATCATCACTAGATTTACTGCACATTTTATTGGTCAGATATACATATAGTCAAGACCATAAGGCTCTAGAATGACCTGCCTGATGAAACAGAGTTGGTAAATCTCTCATTAAAAAATGTTCTATTACATTTTGCACAAACATGTATGCCAGTCTCAGAATGAATCATACCAATTTCGGTGATCCCATGGCTTTTAGCACCATCACACCTTGAATTTGTCTAATACTTTTTATCCAATACTTTTACCAGACTCCTGCAAGATGAGCTGTATTTTGTGTTTAGAGCTAATCAGCAAATGTTAGCATGCTAATAAACTAAACTAAGATGGTGAACATGGCAAACATTACACCAGTTAAACATCAGCATGTTAGCATTGTTACTATGAGCATGTTAGCCTACTGATATTAGCATGTAGCTCAAAGAATTGCTATTCTTATATAAAACTTCACACAGATGCTAAATCATCCTTATTTTTTGTTATATAGTGTAATTGGCTTTATTTAATAAGTTATATAATCTGTTCATTTTTTTGTCTTGTTTGATAATAAATTTTATTTTACTGCCTTACGTAAACCAGCTGTGGTTTTGTTGTACAGGCTTTGAAGTACAAGCCTACAGGGAACTACACTGAAAAACAATCTGAACAAAAGTGAAGACCAAAGGAAGAGGACAGCAGATTTTTCATAGCAGTAGCCAAAGTTGCAGCTTAGCCTAATCTCTCTTTAACTGCCCACGCTCAGTGAGACCAATTCTCTGTATGGTTTCTCTCTCTCACTGATGTTGTGAGTTGAACATCAATCCGAGAGAAAACTGGATTACAGTCTGGCTCTAGATATGGCTTTTCATGCTAAATGCCAGTCAGTAATATCCTATTGCAGGGATTCCCTCAGACTAACTGTGAGGTCTGAAACTCTTTGTATGAGACAGGCCGTTGTCATGAGGTTTTCTTCTGGATACATGTAGGCAAACATTGATGTCAGATCCAGCTAAAAGGATCATATCTGCTTGGTTGGCACTATGAATCTGAGCTGCTTCTGCCCCAGTGCCAACCACAGTGATGTCAGTCCATTTTTGCCTCTAACTGAATGATTGCTATCTACCTCTAGGGCAAAGCAAAGGTGGAGGTGTGGGAAATGGCCATAACTTGGCTCTAAGAAAGAGGGTAAAGGTGGACGAACAAGGCGAGGTCCATGGAGGAGGAGGATGGAGTATGATTGCAGAGGGAGAAGAAAACTGATAAAAACCTGTCTGTGCTAGAAAGAAAAATATACTGAGCTTCATTTCGACTTTCTTAATTGTATGAGGTTATTGAAGCTTTGTTTTCAAGTCATTCAGCAATCCCATATTGCCTCTGCTCAGCTTGTTCAGTTTGCCACATCTTGCTGTAGGTCAGCTCGGTTCTTTGAGGAAAACCTTCAATGTTCACACTATACACACTGAAACTTCAAAACACTTGAAAGAGAAAAACTACAGTATATTAAGGAGAATCTCTATTCTACTCGTTTGACAGGTTCATTCAAAGTGACTTGTGAGATTAATGTTCAAAGAGAATAAAATAATAAATATTACACTGAATATTTGCTCGATGATTACTGTTGAGTCAAAAGCCCTGTCATGGCGTATTTGTTTGCTCTGACCTTCTGCTTTTAGACTAACTCTCCTCGTTGTTCAAAAGGAAGATCAGACTCTCGCTGTGGTCGTTGAACATCCACCACCTCTCTCACTCTGTCAGAACCCTGAAGAGAGAGAGAGGCAGCATTTCAATTCCAGCTACATACATGCTAACACCACAAATATCATCATTTTTCAACTGAATTGTGATATTGACATATGGAAATAATTTATCAATTAGGTGCTCTCATCATACAGTAGCTTGGGCTTTTGTTTACAGACCTGAGGGTAGGCTGATAATCTCCAGTCGTTCTGTATATGAGGAAATCTGCAGTCAAACAAGTGCTGAGGGGGAGGAAGAGAGGAAGCGAGTATGTCCTGGTATAGACCCCCGTCCCTTACATCTTCATACCAATGGCTGTGAGAGTCCACAGGAAGGCGGGTGACATCTTCAAGGGCATATAGAAGTACATAGACATACTTATGGACAAATGCATTTACAATATATTAAAGTAAATTAAGATGAAGTAAATATTTGCTAATGCCAAACATGACAACAAATAAGAAAATACTCTGAATGGTGCACACCATTTGCTACAAATTTTAACAAGGACAGATGCAGTTCCTGATTGATTCAGACTGCATCATATTTTGGACATGCCTTGTTAACTCTGATGTATATTTGTGTCTCACCAAACCTACATGTTTCCTCAGGGTGTGGGCTTAGTGGCGGCACGTAGTCACCGGTGGGGTAATAATAATGGGAACTTTCCTGAAATTAGTGGAACAGAAGAGATGGCATCACATAACTTCAGGTAAATGACAATTCCACGTTTTACATCAGAGCAAAGAGGGTTGCAATGAATTCCTTGTGGGTTGGTTCACCCAAATTATATTTTCAGACGCCGTAAGAAGACATAAGAAAAAGGCTGAGAGTGCAGTCTGAGGAATATCCAGAGTAATGGTGATATTGTTTATAGGATGAGAGAGGATGTAGTTGATTTCAATGTTGTATTAGGCAGAAATCTCACAGGCAGATGTTTCAAACCTGGGATAATGACACCAAAACTATCGGCACACAACCTAAGAAACCACTACAGGTAAATGAGAAAATATATTTTTTGGTCATTTGGCTGAACTAACCCTTACAGGTATGTCCTGTCCGGTTAAATTGGGGATGCAATAAAGCCTTCCTCCATGGGGATTTGAGGTTTCATTATCCCCCAACCTGACAGCACACTGTTTTCTTTTACCTCACTCCACAGTTTTCTTCAAGGTTCAAGTCCTTGTTGGCTTTTTTTTTTAAAGTACAAAAAGATAATTTCACTGAAATCGATGTGTATTTTGAATGCTAATTGCGAGGTATTGATCTATGTTCCATCTCTGTGCACAGCTAAAGGTTTTATTACTTGATCTATCCATTTTGCCTGTTATGGCTGAATTCTCTACTTCTTCTGTCAAATCCCTTTGCCCCCTGCCTAAACTCTTCCCTTCCCCTCATCTGTTTATTCAGCCTTCTCTGTCTCTCTGTATACTTCCTCCATTGCCCTTTGCTCTCATTCCACTCTTCCTTTCCCTCCTTCTTTCTCTCTCTTCTTACCTCTGCATAGGTCTCATAAACATTGCTGTCAGTTTCAGATCCGGAGTCGATGAGGAGGGTTCGTTGGGCTGCGGTGTTTATCCTTTCTCTGCTCTCATACTTATTGGAGTTGTTTGCAGTTGACTGTCTGGACCTACAGTGACAAATCAGTTTCTGTCATCTTCTTGATTCATTTCCCAACAGCTCTTAGATGCCAATCCAAACTAACAGAGAACCAAAACACCACGCATAGCAACTTTTTTCCCTTCATACATTAAGTTCTTAATGAGAGTATATCATGTGGTACATGTACTCACTTACTGCAGGACTGTAGTGCAATTTTGATGGCACTGATATAAATGGATATTGACAGAAGCTTGTTATTTTGGCTGCCTGGCTGTTTTAGTTGCTAGGTCAGCCAGTGGATCAGGTGTTAGACTTCTTAGTGTGAGCTGGATGTGTGTCTCTTTATTACTTCTATTGCAGGGCTCTAACTTACCCCTTCTCTTCATTTTTCTTGCTATCCAACAAACTGCCTCCTCTACCCCCTGCAGGGAGAACATAAACAGGAGGAAAGAGGCTTAGTGTTAGGAAATTAGAAGAGAGGAACATCATCTCATAAGCACCGAAATTGATCGGAGCAATAAAAAGGCCAGAGAGTGAGAGTGAATGAAAGACAAGCTGTGAAAAAAATTTATGTAAAAACCAGAGGGCATAGGAAGGTGAGGAGTAAAAAACAAAAATTGAGATGGAGAACTTGACAGTTAGACTGAATACCAAATAGAAAGGGACAGACGCAGAGCTAGAGGAAGGACATAAAGCTAGCAAATGAGATAAAAGATATGGACAAAACACAGAAGTGACAGATTTGAAGGATGAATGTGGTGGGAGGTAGAGGCTTTGAGAATGAGCAGGAGGAGAGGAGACAGGAGAGATGGATAGAAAAAGGGACAAGGAGAGATGAGGGCAGAGTGAGAGGCTGAGCTGAAAATTGCATCATGCATCAGAGTAATCTCTTTAGAGTTTTGTTGAAAAATCAGGACATTATAATGACAGGAAGTGATGGAGGAAACACTTGCACATCCTGAGATGAAGACATCATCATCATCACTACCTATCTGGCCTCGCCTCTTTTTCCACCTCAGTCCAAAGAAGCAGCCCAGTGAATTCAATACAAGCAGGACTCCAAACACCAGTGGGAGCACTACAGTCACATAGGCTGGCAATCCTGCACCTAGTTCACACAACATTAGACACAGCAAGTCAGTGCATAATAATGAAAGTTAAAGAGGAAGTAATGTGGAAATTCAGAAGCATCAGAACTGACTGAAACGGACCCAACCACTCTATCATTTGTCTATATTGATTAAATGCTAGCGGGGCGGGGGGGGGGGGGGTCTAAAACGGCCCCGA